AGCTAACTGAGCTTCTTTTTTTCAACTGTAGTACTTAATAAAAAAAAACAACGAAAGGACAACCACAAAACGTTTCGTCGTCACTAAGTACCAGTGTAACAGTATCACCGTGAAACCTTCCTTATATAATTGTTACTGTTTCTTTACGAACAAACAAATACAATAACTATTACTAAGTAGTTACTACTGCTAACCGTCGCCAAAATGGCATAAACAATCATCGTAATTTTACAACGCGACCATTAAAGTTGTATTGACTCGTAAAATCAGGAGATCTCACACGGAGATAGGGTCGCCCCCGAGCCTCCTGCGGCTCCTGAGAACGTCACTCATTACAAACAGCAATTTTCTATCGATATAAAGTTCATAGTTTCTCGATATACATCGGCGTATCGATTTTATCGAGCACCCGTTGCGGTTTGTGTGGGAAACCGATCGTTTTTGACGATTTACCTTAAGTATGTTAGCACGTGCTGGCCCGTGTTTAGGTTCTACAGCTGCACCTAAATTGATGACTGTGGTCATTTGATTACATTGCTCATTCCGAAAGGACCACAAGAAAGTTAAAGTACTTACTTACTTTCCTTAAACCGAATACCTTTATTTTTATTCCTAACAAAGCTCATGTCTCTTTCTAGAACCTTCGGCCTACGCAACTAGGGACTCTATGACGTCCAAAAGCCAATTTTACAGCAGACTTCGTTAAAAACGTACGCTCCTGCCAAATACCTACAATTTCATTTCCTACTAAAACTTCATCAAGACTGCGTCTGACATTATCACCAATCACATTAATAGGTAGATATAGGCGACCCTCGAAAACAACTCATTACTATCAGAGAGCTAACTTGGTAACGTGCGGTAGACACCAGCAGGTCAACGTACACCTCTCTGTCAATCATCTTTACTTAATAGATTTTTAACTTTATTGTCTTGACGTAAAGTTGGAAATGCAATGAAAATGATTGACGAATAGGGTAGGTTGATCAGCTGGCATTTGTAAAAGCTACCCAAATCCCCTAATCGACGGATTGTGGGAAAGGGCAAAGACAATGGAGATAATATCAGGGTTAATAGCAACCATCTCGTATCTGGCACGTGGGGTTGACCGGGTATCTGTATGGATTAGCCGACGGCCGATGGATAGCTCCATGAATGATTGTAGATTGAGATTATATCGGCAATTTGTCTCCGTTTCATGTGGCAAGTGGAAAGTAAATGGCTATGAATAGTGTGTTGTAGATTTTTGCTACTAAACGCAAACCTTGTTGGTCGAGTATCGAGTTCTATTTCGTAATAAAATTCATAAAAATATGAAAGGATTAACTGTAGAAAATTTGGTTAATAAGTCTCTTTCAATGTTTGAAGTTATTCTTATTTATAAACATAAATAAGCAACGTTTTAGTAAGACTAGAGTTTTCATCGCACGCACTGCAAAAGTATTTCGGGCAACATTTTTCTTGCATAAAAGAGTCACCGACGGCCGTCGCGAGATTTCATCCGACGCCGACGGCGAAGCACCAAGCATAATCCTGTTCAAATTGTGTTGTGAATTCGTAAATCAGCTTGAAACAGTTAGGTGGAACAAGGAAACCCACATGGAAGTCAACCAAGGTGTAATGCCCTGATTACAACATTGGCTGATGGTAGCAAAGCGATGCTAACACCTGACCCGCTTTTAACGTCATTGGTGATAAATTACTTCACACTAGCTTAGACACTAAAACTATAATAAACTTATTAAAATAAGTTTAATAAAACACCAGGCCTATTATTTCCTGAAGGCCTAGGCATACTTAAATATCTATAGTAGACGTAAGTATGTATGACTCGTTCATTTTTTATCCAAACAAAAGTCGGATGAGAAATAAAACCATTTAAAACCTTTTGTCACGGTTATAAGTAAAATAATCAAAATTGTAATACACGTACCAACAATAAGACCTATTTAAGTGTACCAAAACGTAAAAAGTAATCAAATCACGACTTTAACGAAATTGAACCGTAGTTCACTCAGCTAGAGAGATGATTATTGCTTAACATAACGATTGCACTTTATAGAGGGGAGTTTCATTGTGTTAATATCACAATATGGTGCTGTCAGTTAATTGGAATAGATTATGGGAATGAGGGAAGAAGTGCGCCATGGAGTGGTCCCGGGGGATGCTTGGCGGATGGACTTTTTATATTATTTTTTTATCAAGTCATCGAGTGACAATGGAGAACGGACGGATTATCACAATATTTGGAGGCGGTCGTGTGGCTCCGCTGAAAACTGACACCGGTTGCGGTTGCTCGACAATAGATCGAGTAAAACGCTTAATCACGTTTAATAAACAGTTTAACTAGATAATTATTGCAGTTAGACTTGTTAGGCATATTTTATCTAACAGTCTTTAGCATAGGGACAGAGAAAATTTACAATAGGGTAGCTTCCTAGATAAAAAAAATAGTTTGACTGTTCAGTGGAAAGCATTAAAATATAATCATAGTAGCATTTAAGTTAAGATTATTTCTAGCATTTTTTTTTCCGAAATAATTAGGACAAAACATTATAACCTCATACCTGTTGCGAGTTCATACAAAATTCATGGAACACCTACCTACTATCGTTTTTGACATTTCAATAAATGTATTGAGTTTGACCGAATTGTTTATTGGAAACTACCGAATTCGAAATAAGTACAATCAGCGTACCATCTCTCAATGACGTGTCTTCCAACAATTAGCCATATCAGCCTATTCGTCACAGCAGATGTCCATTACATCCCATAAGTGACCTTCCTCAAGCTTGTATTAGATTAGTCCCAATTATAAGTAAATTACGTGTGACATGGTCTTGCAGGAGCCGTGACTGTCGTCGCCGCGGTCGTGACCCAGTAAGAGGCCCGCATGTCTGAGCCAGTGAGCCAGTAGACAGCGAGGCTCCGCTCTCAGATGACCAACAAGACCTTAAACGAAGCGTCTCGAGTGCTCTATGATTCACCGTGAGACTTGCAGACGGAAACTGAGGCATACCACTGAGATGGGTGAGATGATATTCAAGTCTTGGCTTGAGCTTTTCGCTTCTGACTGAGGAAAACGATATGGAAAAAACATAGGAGAAAAAAATTGTTACCTAGAAAAAAAGCATTGTAACTAAAGTGTAATATGACACGTAATTCTACAAATATAGTACAATAAAATAAAAAAGTAATCTGAGAACATAATTTGCTTCGATAAACTAAACGAAAAAAATCTCAACAATCCAACTAATAAAGGAATCACTGTGGCCGAATTACAGCGTGAAAACATACATCGTTGTCGGCCGACGTTTTTATTGATAAAAAGCAAATAAAATATGTAACAAAGCTTTGAAGATGCGCAATAAATGTACAATAATGCGCGTTCTTATCCTCGCTTCATTGGTATTGTATGACGTGCGTGTCGGGCGTGACAATGGACTCAGCGGCGCGTGCGCACCCGACTAGCACACCTTGTTGCGGCCGCCCGACAACCCCAAACGTGCAGAACGCGTGTATGACGCCGAAATATGTATTTGTTTGCCTACCTGTAGAAAGGTACTGTGTTTTTGAAATCAACCATATCCTATTTGATTTACAGATTTTTTGATTGGCTAATTGTTACAAATTTGATCATGGTTTTACTGAAAATGTTCCAACCAAAACCAATACCAAAACTTTGTTCCCTTTAAAAAAATTGGTCAGTTCAGAACATAGCCCCCAAAGCATATTCCACAAGTATTTTTATTCCCAACTTATGACCTTGCCTTTATCGCAAAATCCAATCGGGTTCACGATAAAAAATAAGCTCCCGTTGCATTGTGGTAGTGTCCGAAAAAAACAAGCTTATCGAACAAATAATAAGAGCTAGCAGAAATATTGAATGCAGATCTTGAACGGTCCATTGTGCGGTATTTCTTTTCATATTTGATTTGTTGCTACAAATAACGGACATGAAAAGCGTTTAAGGTACTTAATGTCCAGTAATTGGCGATCAATGAGGATCAGTGGGTACATTGTGCTAAAGTATCGAATGGCCCCGATTCTATTGTCCGAGCTCGGATAAAAAAAAATCATAAAAAATACTACTAAGCCAAATAGGCACCCGTCAAGGGTCAGATCCCAATGGCGAGCTGTCGATTTTGACAGATTAAAATGATATCTAATGAAATTCAACACTTTTGAAACGAGTTTAAATCTCGTATTGTAGTCATTTAGATATTTAAAAATAAGGACGAGAAGAAATCCTAATCAATCTATGTTATTTTCTTTGCAATTGCCCTTGAGCTTTCAACAAAACAACAAGTGGGCTCCTTTCTCCATTTCTAGTCCTAATTTGCATTCCTTTCTATTAAAACTGATGAAAGGATTAAGTAGTTAAAATTCAAGACAATCTTTGTCATTAAATTAAAACAAGGTGTTCCTAACGGTCGGTTCTGAACATTTAGATTCAAACTTCAAACAGACAGTAGTTGCAACCACCGGGCGGGTCCCACGCACTCTGAATAAGAAATATGAGCTGAACGGATACTGCTATTATCAAAACATTATTACAACACTTGAAGCCACCCCACTACTGTAAAAATTAAACAACAATTGCCTTTAATATTCGCTCGTCGGTACCGTACCAGCGACCCTCGACTGGTTACAAAAAAATCTGTCAATCTGCCGTAGATCAATCATCCTTCGTGAATGGGGGGTGAACACACCGCCCGACCACAATCAAACATCGCAGATAATAAAACCTAGTCTATATTTACGTAAACGCATCGATTTGATGTCCAATATTATGCGCGGGCGCATCCGACACTGATTTCTTTTGTCCGTTCCCTTTCACTGAATTGTGGGAGTTTAACATTTGAATGACGTTTTGCAAATGTTGGATAGAAGTCAAGTAGGCGTTTTGATGTTCACTTTTAGATGTGGAGAAAACTTAAACTTTTATTTTTTACTATCTTTGCTTAAATGTGCACTCAATTGTTGCATGACAATGTGAAATGGACCTTCGATGGAACAAGAGACGGCACTTTACTGATGACGATGTCCGCGGCGATGTGCGCGAGCGCATCCACGTGCATCCACGCACCGGTGCGCGCTTACGTGCCCACGCGCATCGCACGCGCCAGGTACACGTAACGCGCGACGCGTGCACGATAACGCGACGCGGTAAAGGTAGGGTAAGAACTGGTATGATAACAATAACATCTTTTTAACTTGTGAACAACTTATTGTAGTAATTCAAAGACTTAAGTGTATGTTATTAAGATCAACAAGTAAGTGAGACAAGTGGGATTAAATAGGGTAATAAGAGAAGATGAGAGCCAATTTGAAATTTATATAGGTAGTTAACAATTAGAGTATACCTACAAATATTAAAACTGACTGACGATTTGTAAAGCTTTTTTTGAAATTAAGATTAAAACAGGATTAATTAGTAACAAAAATTCTAAAGTATGTTATAAAAAGTTAATTACTCATAAATATTGTTAACTACTCTATTGTTATTGTTTAATATTATAACCAAAATATTAAATAACCTGTAGAATAAATTTCATTCTTTCTAAATTTAAAGAAAGACTACAAGACACACACCTAACTATAAAAGAATAATAGAACTATAAAAGAATAAAAGAATAATATAGAAACTTAATTGTTACCTCCAAGTTTTCAAATCCCGCCATTGTATTGTTTCACAAGATGAATCAAATATCGCTTAAAAATATTGCATTATTATATTAACAGTAACCCTTTTATTTAAGTCAACAATTTTCTCAAAATGCTATCTAATGAGCAGTAATAGATTTTTTACCAGTAATCGTTATGTCAGCCGTGCACTTTATTACCGAAGCAAATCTTGTCAACGCTACCCTTGCACTATCTTATTGACAATAGAAATCAATATATTTGTGAAAGGTTTAGAATCTAACAGACGTACTGTCAGCCAAAACTGATTAAAAAGAAAAAATAAAAATATATATTCAATGAGTACAAATACAGCAAACTTTGTTTCGCTGCTGAGCCGCTAGCTTTGGGTAAATTTTATTATTTTTTATTTTTTTACCTGCATACTTATTGGTATTTTGACTAAAATAATTTTATATTTTAAGAATGGCGCATACATTCAAGTTAAATATCATGGAACGTTGGATTTGAATCGATCTCTACACTTAAATACAATTCGCGCAATTTCTATATAGTCACTTTCTCTGTTCCTAATGCCGTATCCCTATGTACGTCCCTATATCCCTATGTAAATCTATCAAACTGGAATTTGTTGCGTTTTTATAATAGATGGAGTGATTGAAGAGGTTTTTTTTTTTAATATTTATAATATCAGCCATTAAATAGTGGAGAAATTTAGTACTAGCATTGCACTCAAGTTATTTACTAACAACCACGGTACTATTTTAAAATCGGATTTATAAGCAGTTATCATGCATGGTTTTTACTTTAAATTTTCTCTTAAAACCCATTACTCATGAACGCTTCTAATAATGAAAACAAAAAAAAAACATCGCGTAAAATCAATTGTAAGTAGATTTATCTAGACACGCTTGTCTTTCAATTAATGGTTTCTATTGCACGTTGTCACACACACTGAATAATAAGTAACGTTCGTTAAAATCACATTAAATTCCACCATTATGTATATTGTAAACAAATATTCGGTTAAATACATCAATCGTGGGCAACAATGGATAGTACGCGTGCCCACTGTCCACCAGGCTATTTACACCACCAGCTAAATGCCTACCGATGGGATAACAATAGCTTTACCACGTTTCCGAATTCAACTGACCACAGGGGAGCCTGATTGATCATTGATCCCAAAGAATATACCTTTAATTTTACTAATCCGGAAATATATTTTGTATAGGACTTCCCCGTTTACGAATAAATTTTTAATTCTCACTTTTTACCGTGACGAATGCTAAAAGATTTTGATAAAATGTTATTGTTATGTCTGTCGATAAATATACGAAGGTAATTTGCAGATGCGTTGTAAACGATATGGTTGCAATAATCGTACATCTCGGATGTACAAATATTGTTCTAATAACAATAAACATAAAGTATGCGCGGTAACGGCGTAGCGGCGCACGCGCAACCCTTTCCCACCGCTCTAATTTTACTAATGCGCTCCACAAATAAAGGGGCGGTAAGTATTAAGTTAAATAAATGCATTAAAACGCTGTTTAACCTTTGAATTTACAAATTACTTTTGGATCGTATTTCTTATTCTTTTAATTGAAATATAACTGTCATTAACTGTATAGGAAAGAGCTTGACCCTTGTGACCTTTATTTGTATTATTGCTACGAACTTAAAAAAAAATTAGTTAAAATGGCTTAAAATGAACTGAATAGAAAGATTTTAGTAGAAGAACTCTAGAATCGGCAAAAACCTCCATTATAACATCACCATACCAATCTAATATTAAGACTAGATACTCATAATCCCCATCCAAAATCAATGTCTTTCTTAAAAGCAAATAAAAATTTAAAAACAAACTCAATAAATTAACAAACATTTGATTAATGTGTACCTAATTAAAATGGCGCGCGCTGAGAACATTTCAAAGTTTTTAAGAACCATAACATAATCTGACAATGAAATGGAATCCGTTCACATGGTGGCCGCTGTCACAATCGTCGCTAATTGCGCATAATGAGTGGAGCAACAGACGCAATATGTTTTTTTGCTATTATTTATGTGTACAGGCCCTAACTCCAGCCACCCTTCACAATTCGCGGGTTGAAATAAAATTTAATGGTCCGCTAGCCACGTTTAACCTTAAACATTTCAATGCTATGAAATATCGGATTTCCGGAGTTTAAAAGAATATCAGATTATCATTCGAAATGTGTATGGGTTTTGTTATTGATTTACAATCTTTATAATTTTATAAATAGTCGATTTTTGGCTAGCTGGCATTGTCTGCAGTCGATGTGGTTAATCTGCTTACCTATATGTAAGTTTCTATATGTGTATCCAAACTTTCGCGACGTTTGTTACTCTTCTACAAAAATCTACTGGATAGACCAATTTTTTATTCTTTTCTTTCGTCCTTTGTAGAAAAAGTGTTCGCACCTAGTACCTTTGTACTAGGTGCGAATTAAGCCACTGGTAGAAAACTAGTAATTTACCTAATAGAAAATTTCAGTTTGGCAGTGAATTCCCAACAACTGGATAACGTGTTCATTTGGACCTTGTCCCAATCATAATACTTAAATGGCTGGATTTATTTTTGTATATACAAATGTTATTTATGTTTCATTATTTCCATTTTTCTAAATATAAGAACATGATTTAAGCAATCTGCAGACCTTCCATCCAAAATATGAATCATTGGCACCAAAATCATTAGTATCAGTAGTTCCCACGGTGAACCACAAATGAACATCAATTAATTAATCCCACCAATCAAGGTTCCCACGTTATGATATCTAGAAATCACGCAACATCTTTATTCGTTTATTAGATTGCTCCCCCATCGCTTCCCCATCGAATGCCCATTGTTTTTGGGGTTAGCGTGAAATAGGTTGGCCGGTGAGACCGTAATTACTTTCATAATATTGCCAGTCGTCAAAAATTATATTTTGAAGGGGAACTTTGGCTACACTGTAATTTATTTATTAAGTTAGCTAGATAGTGATGGATAAAATAAACATACCTACGGCTTATTTACTTCATTTTTATTCATGACTTCTGTAGGACCTTCTTCTTTCAACATCTATTGAAGTGAGTTCTAAAATTATATAAATTTTATGCTATAATCAGACAATAGTAACAATGTCTACAACGCACTGCAATTTGTATAATACCACAATATATCAATCTCTTCTATTCAAACGTTGCTATAATTATGCGGAAATGTCGCGTCGAGCCCATGTTTATGCAAAATAGAACGATTTTGAAAATTCAAATGAATCAACAAATTGGTCGGGGTGAATACAAAAAAAAATACGGATTTGTCTATGGCGTATCGTGAATTTTGCAAACATTCGTTGATATTTTTAAAGTTTGTACTTACGTCACAGACGTGATAAAAAAATATCGAGAAACTTCGCCTTCCCGGAAAAGGACCATTTTAAATTAACTATAAAATATTTCCGACACAAAATTAATTAAATTAGGATAACATTTTTATGTTTATTTAGCTATTCATTTAGTTAATCTAAAAGATTTGAAAAAAGAATGCATCTCAATTGTTTGAAATTGACCACGTCGTAATAATCTCGGCCTAGCTAGTGTAGTTGTTTTAAGTTCCCATTCTTCTTATCGAAGATCATTCGCAAGTAGAATCATTCGTTAATATCATCTCCTTTATATAAAAATGAATTGCCATTCGTTAGTCTCGGTAAAACTCGAGAACGGCTGGTCCGTTTTGAATGATTTTTATCCTAAAATATACGTTGAAGTCCAGGGAAGCTTCAAATGGTCAGAAGATATCGTTAATATTTGAGGCGGTACGGAGTTCGGCGGTCAGCTACTTAGTATAATATGAAAAAATAAAGAAACAGTAGTCATTTGGTCGCGTGCTGCATGTTAAAATGTATCAGCTATCGTGAGCGGGGCGTCGCCATGACTGCGGAGCGGCGCGCGCGCACCCGCATCCTACAGATAACGGGCGACAATAAATTAACTAACGCACACCTACAGCCTTTCACAACAACTATGAGTTTTCACCTTGTGTCTTTATCATCGCGTTAATGTTCATAAAATCATAAATTTATTACTCGCCACTGGAATCAGGGACCTTTTTCCTTTTCTTGTTTTATTAAAACCTCATCATTTTTAGCTGGATGATATTTATTGTTGTTGAACTAAGCTGTGTGCCAATAGTTTATCAAAAGACGACTTTCAGCCTTATGGATCTTACCATAAGTTCCACAGTTAGCTTGAGTTGGGTAATTTGTTGATTTTGAGACGTCTTTACACAGTTCTAAGATATACAATTCTAGTCCTAACAACAGGAAAGGTGTGTCGCTGTTCTTAGAAGAAATTATTATTATAATCGTTGTTTCATTGTTTACCTAAATAATATACATCATTCACTTAAAGGAAAACACTTTTAACTTGTGTATAACGCAAAACATCACTTGTTCAGAACTAGAATATTACCGAAATTATTGACTTAAAACTTAAAGTACTTATAGATACAATAAATC